GTGACTGACGTCCACGCTCCTCCTCATCCTCCCGATGGCATCAGCCGCGATCGTGCAAGCGAAGCTTCGGTCCGAACGTTATATAATTGTGGCAGATTACTTCCAACGTTGGTCACATGCATGCTGCCATACTCGGCTGTGTGCTTACAAACGTTCTTCTACAGTGGACATTCAACTATCGGACAACTTGAGCGCGAGGATGGAATCACACCGAGGAAGAAACGCCAACAACATGTGGAAACGCTTGAAAGATCTGTTACTAGATCTTCATTTAAATTCAGATCGTCTGTTTTATCGGTGAGCAGATTATTTTTAGAAGAAAATATTTTTTTTTAGAAATATTTTTAACTTAGAGTTGTTTAAGATTAATTTCTCTTTTTTTTTGTTTTTCTTTTTTATATATTTTTATGCTTTATATAAACTATGCATAACTTTTTTCCATACAATTACTTGATTTGATATTGTTGGTTTCATTAAAGTTTTTTGTTTCTTTTTTGTTTACAATTGAAAAAATTGTTGAAGAGAAAAAATAGATGAGATTTCGGTAAATTGAATATTATTACGTTTTTTTATTGGAAATATATCCTCGTTTCCATTGGATTTTAAATTTGCGCTTAATTCTGCATTATACATTGAAATGTTTCGTTTTCAGTCCGTTTTAAATAACTGACATTGAAATGTATTTTATTGGTAATTTCATACTGAGAAGTTAATTGCCACAATGCAAATTGTGACAATTGTGACATATATCTTCATTAGAGTAATAGAAAATTTAAATCTCTGTAAAAATTATTCATTGATTTAAAGTTTTTCACATTGAAATATCCCACATGAATAATCTCAAGTGATTCATTCGATTCAAATGAAATTCGTGATTGTTGCTCGAATTGCAATTATGATCAATCAACTTCCACGCGCCATGGCATGTGTTTTCAATAGGCAATTGATCGAACTATGAAAACATAATAAATCTCATTGTAGAATAATGACATTAACGGTGGTCAAGTTTCGGGGCTTGAACCTTGTGCAATTTAATCCACTTAAGGTGAGATCATCGCGACCCTCTTAATTAGTTGAATCAAGGATGGTCGCTTTCGTTCCACGAAGTGGCCTATATTAGGCCAACGGTTCCTCTGGCGCTACCCTTTGTGTTTTCTTAATATTTCATTTAAGTATCGTTCTCCTTATTAATCAATTATATCAATGAATTTTTTTACACTTAGTCATTCGTTATTTATTAATTAAACTCGTAAGATATCTCAATCAAAAATCAGCTGAACTTATTTCTTCTAAATTGATCCATCTAAATTGTTATATTTGATGTATTGATATTTTTTTTTTAAATTGAAACAGTTTGTATTTTATTCAATGTATTGTTAGGTAGACTATATTTGCTGATAAAGAATATGCCTTAACGCAACACTGCATAAAATTATCTTAAACTTCTCAAATGACACTGTTCCATGGTTTTACCTAGAAAAAAAAATATCTTTTCAATAAAATACATAAAAAAACTTTTTTGCATTAAGAAACTTTTTTTAAACTAATACTACTATCCTTATTATACTTTATCACATAGAAAATTTAATATAAAATATTGTTTTTAGTATTGGCTTAAGCATTGGAAAACGGCCCTGGCTGTGGTTGCTGGTATGTTTCTGCATAAATTGTATCTGCGCGCCTGGACTGATTTTCTGGAGGGAAGAGCTCGATGATATCGAGCTCTTTGTGCCCGAAGATTCCATAATACGTAACGACGCCGCCTGGGTGAAGACACACTTCCGGGACGATTTCCGATACGAAAGTATCATCGTCACAGCCCCCAACGTTTTAGAGCCGGAAGTGCTGCGCTCGGTACATAGGCGATCATGAATTATACGAGTATTTATGAAGGTTCTTTTCCACTTTAACGCATGATTCTTGTCAAAATTTCTTAAGACTCACGAGATTTACCTAGCATTTGGAATCTGTGAGCTGGAATCTTTAAGAGATCAAATCACTTGTTGAATCGTGTTTTTTTATTTTCAGATTAGCAAAATAGAGCAAGCAGTAAAATCTATCGTGGTAAATAATAATACTTGGGAAGATGTGTGTGCAGGGTAACAAAAATTAATTTATTTTTAGTGATTTGTAATATCTTGTTCTTGATTTGAATTGTAGATAAGATTCTCACTGAATTACAGATATTTCACATGGTTCAATGTGGAGAATACAACGGAAATCTTCGAGGAGATCATTGGATCCAACTTGGCAGAATTTAAGGATAAGATACAAAAAAATGGATGTATATATCAATCTGTCATACAACTTTGGGAAACTAGTTTAATGAAAGATATTCGTAATTTGACAAAAAAAGAGGTACTTGAGGATGTGACCAAAGCAATCAAACACAAGTGAGTCTCTAATTAAACATATCTTAGAACTATCTTTCAAAATGTTTATATATTTAATCTGTTGTAGGATCAACGATAATATTCTATTAGATATTACGCCTCTGTTCTCCGGTATTATTTATGATAAAAAAGGTCGGGTTAAAGGCGCCAATGCTACAATTTTGAATTGGATGTTAAAAAAATCTAATCCGAACTCGGCCAATTGGGAATTAGAGTTCATAAATCGAGTTCTCCATTCAAATATCACGTTTCCTCCAGGAATGGAGATACATGCGATAGCTTCACGAAGTTATATAGATTCTTTACATCAAATACTAAATAGTAATCTTACAGTATTATGTTGCGGAATATCTTTGATTGCGGTCTATGTAATGGTTATGATTGGTAAATGTAATGCATTAGAACAACGAATTTATCTATCAATAATGGGGGTGTTTGTGGTTGGTCAGGCGATTTTATCCTCTTACGGAGTATGCTATTACTTGGGTTATTCTTATGGTCCTATACATTCCATTCTTCCATTTCTGTTGCTTGGTATAGGTGTCGATAATATGTTTGTGATTATGCAAAGTTTGATAAATCTTCCTGAAACAGATCAATCCGCAGCAATTCCTATACGTATTGCTAAAGCTATTCAACAGGCTGGTATGATCTTACATTTTGTAATATTATTTTTAATACGTAATATTTTTCTTATCTCTTATTTTTCTTTTAAGGAATGTCAATCACAGTGACATCTTTCACAAACATAATTGCGTTTGCTTTCGGAATTACAACTGTGATGCCGACATTAAGATCCTTCTATGCATTTGCCACATTAGGAATTCTATTTTTATACATATATGAAATCATATTCTTCGTAAGTTGTCTCGTATATGATGAAAAAAGACTCGAAGCCCGCAAAGATGGTTGTTTCTGTCGACCAAAACTAAATTGGAAACCCAACGAATGTAGTCAAAGGAACACGCAACAAATTATCTTTGAGAATTATATCGGTCCAGGTATCACCAAAACTACAACAAGAGTAATTATTTTGCTAATCACTGCCAGTTGTCTATGCGTTAATACATGGGCAGTGTTTCAATTGGAGCAAAATTTCGATCCTCTTTGGTATTTAAATCAAGACTCTTATCCAATCCAGTTTAATGATAAATTAAAGCAATATTTTCCAAAGTATGGAAAACGAGTAGGAATTTATATGACTGGCATAGATTATTATGAAGATCGTAAATCTCTTTCTGAATTGGTAGAAGTTTTAAAACACAATAAATTTATTAATAATAATACTCTTGATCCATGGTTTATTGCTTATGAAAAATGGCTTAATGTCACTAATAAAGGTAAGTTTATTTTATATATAAAATAAAATATTTAAGAATAATTAAATTTTAATATTTTATTATAGGCGATATAGATAGCAGCGAAGAATATTATAACATTTTGACAGAATTTTTACTTTTGACAAAGGAAGGTCAAGCATATATTAAGGATATCAATTTCGATAAATTACCGGCTGGAGAATATAATATAACGGTATTAATAAATGTCTATTTATATAACATATACTTATTATTACAATCTATTGTAAAACATAATTATCTTATATTATAAAAAGAATTTCAAACTATTCAGCTATCGTATAAAATATTTTCGTAGAAAAATGATGAATTACGAAGTACATTTACAATAGATTGTTACGATAAACTGTGTGATTTAACAATAATTTTATTTATCTCAGACATCACAAATTCCTATTCAACACGTTATGATTAATACAACATCGGAACAAATACAAGCAATGCAACTTATCAGAGAGTCAATTCAAGCGATAAATTTTTCTCATGGACATGATTATATAGCAATTTTTTCTCCTGATTATGTTTCATGGACAGCAAATAAAGTAAAGATCCTGATTTTTTTTCATTTTTTTTTTTTTTTTGAATTAATTATTATTTTCTCATAGGTCATAGGAGAAGAATTAATTAGAAATTTAGGCTTGGAAATTCTGACTATCGGAGTAGTAATATTGATATTTCTTAGAAATTTACAAACATCATTTTGGGTGATTTGTTGCGTATTCTTTACGCTTATTGATTTATTAGGTACTATGTATTTTTTGAACTTAACTATTGAAATGTCCTCAAGCATTATGATTCTGTTATGTGTGGGACTAGCAGTTGATTATGCAGCACATATGGGATTAGAATTTATACGTGCAAAAGGCAGCAAAAAAGGTAAATAATTTCTTTTCTTATGTTTTTATGTCTTGAATTTTTTATAAATTTATAAAATATTTATAAAAAAAATTATTAAATTATTATTAAATTAACGATTTTAATGATTTTTATAGAACGTGCAATAGAAACACTTTCTATTATTGGTCCAGCTGTGTTTAATGGAGGTTTGAGTACATTTTTAGCATTTGTTTTACTAGGTTCTAGTGATGCTTATCTTTTCAATACTTTTTTTAAGGTATTATTTGAAAATTTCTTATTTTTTTTTATTAAAAATTTTTCTTATTAAATTAATTTTATATAAAAATTTTTCAGTTATTTACTTGTGTAGTGATATTTGGTCTGTTTCATGGATTATTATTTTTACCAGTAATTTTAAGTTTATTAGGTCCTGAAGAAAGAATAAAAAAAGAAAAAAATGAAACTGTTGTAAAAGAACAAAATGGATATTGTAATGTTCCTCTATCTCAAAGTGAGAAAGGTAATACTTTATAAAAGATAAAAATCATTTATAAAATATTTATTAACATTTTATATATTTTTTTTATTTCTTTAGAAATAATAACTGAAACTGCCAAATAAATTTTGACAATATTCCAAAGACTGCTTAGATAAGTAATTGGTTACAAAATTCTAGAATACATTGCAATTACAAAATGCACATGTACTGTAAAACAGTAGTTTATATATTCTTTGTTAATCTGTTCTTTTGTAAAAAAAAAAGGAAAAAAATAAAAAAAGTACCTTTTAAAATATTAAATACTAGTTATCTTTTTCGTCTAGTTTTTACTTCTGTCCATTCATTTGCAACTTTCATACAAACAGATGTTTCTTCTTCATTTTCAGAACTATCATTTTCTATAGTACAAGAATTTTGAATTTTTTTTATAGATTCATTTGTTATAATCCATGATTGTAATGGTGGTAACTTTTCAAGTTCTGTCATTGCTAAATTTTCATTATTTTCAATACAATAACGATAAAATCTTAACAATTCTTCTGCTACTTGCATTGCACTGTTATCTTGAAGTTCTGTGTTAAAATGCTCATCCATGTAATCTTCCAATTCATTAGCAATTTCATTGGTATTCAAATTCTCTAAAGATAAAAATAAAAAATCAATTATAAAAATAATTGAGGTATAATAAGGAAATGAATGAGATACAAACCATTCATATACATAACCTCTGTCATATATGGACAGAAATCTATTGCTCTTTCCTTTATACCCATTCCATGTTCCACTGCCATCTAATAAAAAATATTTTAAAATATTTTAAAAATTATAAATATTTTAAATATTTTAAAAATATTTTAAAAATATATTAAAAATAATATATATCGAGAACATGTATATCATATTGTATATTCCAAAAAATAAATACTTACTTTTAATGCAGTCCAGTTACTAAAAATACGTTGTGTAACCGAAAGAAAAAATTCTTTTGTATTTGACATTTTATCATTTACAATAAAACAAAATTCTTAAGAATATTTATTATTACAAATTTAGTTACAACAATTATCTATTATTCTTTTCAAGTACTTATCAAATTAACAAATCTATTATGTGTTTTCAATTTCTCAGTTAAAGTTAGGTTATTTAAGTTGTTAAGATCAAGTTAGGTTATTTAAGTTGTGAAGATCAAGTTAGGTTATATATTATAAAGTGTTATGTTACTTCGTTAGCACTTTATATATGCTGAAATTTTTAAATAGAAATATATATATCCTATATATATATATATATTAAATATTTCAGTTTTTATCGATATTAAAAAGTAAATATCAATTTTTTTTATTGGAATATAAAAGATTGATTTGTGAATTTTTATTAAATTTAATTTTTGATATACTTATCATAAGTATAATATTTCTTTTACAAATATTATCGTGAAGATATGTCAGACGCTTTTGAAGAGATACAGGCAATTAAAATAAAAAGAAACAGTTTGCGAGAAAAATTGCAGAAAAGGAAACGCGAAAGACATGAATTATTTACTCTTACTTCTACAACACCAGTATCATCCTCCTTGACAAATGATTCTTCTCTTTCTAATGGTAATTGAATTTATTCATTTATTTTTTTTACATGCTTTAATATATTTCTGACTTCAATTTTAAATATAATTTTTTAATATTTTATATAATATAAAACTAAAAATATACTAAAAATATAATGAATGTTTCAGATTTAATAGGACATTCACATCGTTCTGATCATAATGAATATGAAAGAGATGTGTTATGCATTCTACATGAATCGTTACCCAATTTACCAATTACATCTGCAGAACTAATAGATCAACTTCGTAAAAATTTAAATGCAGATGTGTGTCCTTCAGATATTCATAAAATTTTGGAGAAGTTTGCAGCACAAGATATTGTTAAGTTAGTAAGTTTCTGCACTATTTTATGTTAATACTTTATATAAAAATTAGAAATTGAATGAACTTTTTCAGAATTAAAGAAGTAACAGAAAATGGTGTCTTTGGATATACAGTATTATCAGTGGCAGAATCACAATCGTCATATCAATCTCAATCAGATGATACTGAAAATCCAGAAAGTGCAGAAACATCTGCATCTGAATTAAATGATTATGGACCTGCAGAGAAACAGCCTAAATTAGATAAGAAAAATGTAGAGGATATAATGTCACTTATATCTATGCCTACTATTAGAGAGAAAGAAAATAAGAAGGTTGGAGAGCAAATTTTAGATTTATTATCAAAGCAAACATCTAAGGAGAAATCATTAGCTGAAAGATTTCGATCTCAAGGAGGAGCACAAGTAATGGAGTTCTGTCCTCATGGTACACGAATAGATTGTGTTAAATTAAATGGTGGACCAGGATTTGCAGAAAAATGCAAGAAACTTCATTTCAAAAAGATTATTCAAAGTCATACAGATGAATCCTTGGGTGACTGCAGTTTTCTTAATACTTGCTTTCATATGGATACATGCAAGTATGTATTGTAAATGTTATAATTTTATTTTAATTTATAAGAAATATTTATTAATTATATTTTTATTTAAATATTTTATTATATAGATATGTACATTATGAAGTGGATGGACCAACAACTCAACCAAAGGAATCAAATGAAACAGATAATGCAAATAATAGTACAGTGAATAAAGGTTTAACAATAGATAATAAAAATGGTAATAATACTTCTTGTCCAGCTTCTAGTGGATCTTTAGGTAGTGAATTGACTCTTTATCCACCACAGTGGATACAATGTGATTTACGTTATCTTGATATGACTGTATTGGGTAAATTTGCTGTTATAATGGCTGATCCTCCATGGGACATTCACATGGAATTGCCTTATGGTACCATGTCAGATGATGAAATGAGACAATTAGGTATACCTGCTCTTCAAGATGAAGGTCTTTTATTTTTATGGGTAACAGGTAGAGCAATGGAACTTGGTAGAGAATGTTTACAATTGTGGGGATATGAAAGAGTAGATGAAATCATATGGGTAAAAACTAATCAATTGCAAAGGATAATAAGAACTGGTAGGACAGGTCATTGGTTAAATCATGGCAAAGAACATTGTTTGGTCGGTATGAAAGGAAATCCAAGAATTAATCGAGGTTTAGATAGTGATGTTATTGTAGCTGAAGTTCGTGCGACCAGTCATAAGCCTGATGAAATCTATGGAATTATTGAACGTATGAGTCCAGGAACGAGAAAGATAGAATTATTTGGTCGACCACATAATGTTCAACCTAATTGGATCACATTAGGTAATCAGGTAGATGGAGTTCATTTGATTGATCCTCAACTTATTAAAGCCTTTAAAAAGCGTTATCCGGATGGAAATTCAATGAAACCTAGTAAATCATAAATATTTTAATATAAAATATGTGGATAATTATTTTACTATAAATTAATACAATACAGAATGAAATTGTATTTAATAAAATTTGAATACAAATTTTCGATTTTCATATGTTTATTTTAAGATATTCATACAAAAATAATTTTATTTTTAAATATAAATGTACATACTTATATAAGATTACATATAAATTGCATTTACACCAATTGATACATTTCTTTTTAATTTACATTAATATCAGAAATATTTGTACATATTTATTAGAAGTAATATTTAATTCATGCATTAACATATGTATACATTTATATATATATTTATATATTTTTAATTTTATAGCATTTATAATATATTTTTCAAAATATGTAAATAATACATAGATAAGTACTCATATTCATTAATATAAACAAAATTGTTTTAAATTGAATATAATATTTAAAATATTGAGAGAAATAATTTAGCAATCAAATTTAAAATATAAAAAATATTCCTATTATGATTAAATATAATATTTTTTTGATGACCTAAATCTTTACATTTATTTATATATAGTATGGTATATAGTATTGAATATAACGAAATAATTCAAAATGAAATTTAAAATTATATTATAATGTTTAAACAAAGCCAATGCTGCTACGTTTGCGTTTTAAAAAACTCCTCTTTAATGTTAATGAAAGATGATTTTCACTTATTTTATTTATAGACAATCTAGAGGATCGATTTATTTTTGATGGAGTCAAAATTTCTTCATTTTCCTTTTCATTGATATTAATTACATTTTCTAGTGAATTAATACTGCATTTATAAATTTTATTAAATGAATCAATCCAATGTCTTTTTCCATGGTCATCTTCAGTTATTAAAATATGATCTCCAATTTTAAATCCATAAGATACATCAGATTTTTCAACTGTACTTATGCAAATCTGCTCTTTAGGTATAACGGGATAAAATAAGTTATACTTCTTACTTATAGATCTTGTACCACGAGTTATTGCAAAAGCCGTGTCAAAAAGAAAACACTGAAATTTCTAAAAATCATAATTATAAATTTTTTAATATTTATTTAATTAATAAAATAATTTCACAAAATATTCTTACCATTCCCCTTATATCTTTAAGTTGTCCTTGAGTAATTAATTCTGTCGCATTTTTAATACATTTAGTAGGATCATAATCTGGTTTTATATTAATTTTTGATTGAGCCAACTTGCATTCCTCATCTCCCATAATTTTGTCTATATTTTTAAGTAGATTGCATATTAAATCATATGCTTCTTTTAAATATGTTTGATCTATATGTGTTGCTGCAGTATGCCTTAGCATTTCTTTAATCAATAAAGGATATTTAACAATTCTTGATCTTGCTACATCTATGTAAGTCCATAAATCTACAGAATGTGGAGATTCTAAACGTTTTTTTAAAAATGATTGAAATCGTTTATTTGTTAATCTTTTTTCATCTAATAAATGTTTTGCCCATATTTGTGTTCTACATCTTTCTAAGTATGGTTTTGTTAATATTGGAATCTGAAAATTATAATAAAAATTATAAAAATATAAAAAATATAAATTATAAAAAATTGAATAATAATTTAATTATATTAATTAAATATTAAGAATGGATTACAACTAACCCAATTTAATATTGTAGATCCAACAGTTTCTGTAAATCCATATTTATCTCTTAAATCAATTAATTCATCTTTTAATCTATTATGTATTTCAATAAGATTTGTTATATCTCCAAAAATTATATTTAATTCATCAGGAGTAAAAATATTACTGTTTATTAGTGGCTCATAATAAAAGTCTTTGAGAACACATAAATCATTAATGAATACATTTTCTCCACAATACAATTCATAAATTGCTTCTTGTTTTTTTACTTCTTTTCTATTTAAAACATAGTTAGGTCTATCCTTAGTACTTGTATTTGCCACGTCAACTACCCAGCTTCTAAGTGTAAAATTATTAGAATTTTCAATACTTTTCTTGTGTCTAAGAAATAAAATTAGATATAAATAGATAAAAATTAGATATAAATAAGAAATTAAATTAAATGAATATTCTTAAATTATATGACAAAGATATATTTAATAATATTTTTATACTTTATTTTTAATGTTCCTGTATCTATTTCATTATTCACAAATGATAAGTCTGTTGCATTTGATTGAATTGTGAAAGATCTATGAATACTATTTCCTTGTTTATTACTTAAAGTAGAAGAAGAAAAAATGCTGCTGGCCACTTCTGTAATCCTTCTTCTCTTTTTCTTTTTTATTACATCTGATTCAATAGATATGTCCATTGAATTGATACTGATAGCATCACTTTTTGGTCGTTTTCTTGTTCGCTAATTCGTAACATTAGAAAATGTCACTTTTATTATTATAAACAAAAACAATATGAAAAAATATTAAATAATAATAAAAAATAATAAATCGTTGATAATCTGCTAATTAAAATAATCATAAAAAATTAAAAGTATAATAGATAAAATTAAAAAAAAAACAAAAAAATTAATATCATTAAATATTAATTAAATTAATACAGGTTAATCACGCGTCATTTTTAAGTAACTTTGATAATATTTAAGAACTTACCAGCCAAAATTTTTTTCGAGGTTCTGGAAAAGTATCTTTATTTGTATTATTACTATCATCATACATTTCTTTAAACTTTCAAAAATTTACGCACAATTGAAATATATGCAGTATTATTCCATACAAGGTAACCGTTAAACTACGCAAGCTTTTGAGAAAAACAATCCGTCAGTATAAACGCGACAAATATAAATTTTAGGATATTTTCTATTTATTCTAGCATAATGATTCCTTTAATTTTTACAGTGTTTTTTATCGTTATAATATTATTTATAAGGTAGGAAAACTTTTACATTATTCAAATGGATAGAAACAAAGCTGTTGCTTTTAGTTACCCCCTCTTCTTATTTGAAAATATGAACCCGTAAAATAAATATCGAATGAATATATTTTCTTGTGCTAAAATATTTTCTTGATTTATAACATTATTAAATGGAGATCTTTTGAATATAAGTTTTGTTTGTAGATTTATGGAATCTTTCTTTAATTACATATATTCGAAAAGAAAAGAATGATTGAATCCATTTCTAAATATAAAAGTCTTTTGAATTTATGCCGCCATATTAAAGTTGACATATTACTTAATAATTTATAATAATTTATACTTAAAATTTACTTATTTTTGAATTAGTTCAAAAATAGATATAATATATTTTATTATTCGATAAGTATTGTTTCTTTTAGATTACTTAATTATGACTATTTATCTTTGTACACGTGTTAAATGAAGAAGTAGGAGAGGTAACCTAAAATGTAAAAACAAATAAGTACTTAATACATTTATCCATAATGATGTTTTATTAACTTTTATTTTTTTTTTTTTTAGGAAAAACGAAGAACAGCAAAAGCAATGCCGTTCTAAGAAATCTATTAGTAAGCGAACTATGGATAAAAAGGATAATAAAAATACTCAGCGTATGACTCCATATACGGAGCGTAATGCGTCTGGTCGAAATTGGGAAATGTTTAGAAATTTAGTATTTAATTCGCCATCATTAAATCCAGATTCTGGAAAAGAGAATATTAAAAAAAAATCATCACCACATCAGAAATCAAGAAAAAAGCATTATTCATCTATATTAAATGTGGATCATATAATATCACATAATGATGAAGAAATAGTTTTTGATGAAAGTAAAAAGAAATTAACAAAACAAATAGCAATTGATTGTGAAATGGTAGGTATAGGAGATGGTACTGAAAGTATGTTAGCTAGAGTATCTATTGTAAATCGTCATGGTTTCTGTGTTTATGATAAATATGTAAAACCAAGAGAACCTGTTCAAGATTATAGAACTAAAGTTAGTGGAATTAGACCTCATGATCTTCAAAATGGAGAAGAATTTGAGATTGTTCAAAAAGAAGTAGCAGAAATTTTAAGAGGCCGCATTTTAGTTGGTCATGCACTAAAACATGATTTTGATGTATTATATCTTTCTCATCCAAGAAAACATCTACGAGATACTTCTAAATTTAAAACTTTCAGACAATTATCTAGAGGAAATACTCCTAGTTTGAAGAAACTAGCACATGAATTATTAGGTAAAGAAATACAAACAGGGGAACATAACTCAATAGAAGATGCAAGAGCTACAATGCAATTATATATGCTCTACAAAAATAAATGGGAATCTGAACTCTATTCTAAACGGTAATTTGGATTATAACAAACAATCTATACATTTTTTATAAAAAAATTCTAAAAATTTTGTCTATATATAAAACAAAGTTTAAATATTTGATGAATATTTATTTAAAAATTTATCTTTTAAATATAAAATTATTCAAAAATAAATAAAAATATCTTTATTTTATATAAAATAACTTTATATTAAATACTTTAATTTTTTTCTTAATCATGTTTAATAAAAACTAATCTTCAGGCTTTACAACGTATGAATATTAAATCTATATAATTAAATATGTAAATAGAATACTGTTATCAGAGTGTAAAAGAATTTATGTTAAAAATTTCAAAATATATTTCTTTTTTATATAAATTTTAGTGTCTACATTCCTTTATTTGAAATATTTTTTAATATTATTAAATAAAAATTAAATAAATTGTCTTATTAAATAAAAAAAAAAAAATAAACGTGATGTTCAGTAATAAAATTAAATATATTCACTTTATACAATTTATTCATGAATCTATTAATATTAAGTAAAGTGACAAAAAATTATTAAAAAAAACATATAAAAGTATAGCAGCTCTTAAAGCTAAATATAGAATATTTATTATTTAATAGATAGAATAGCCAAAGAAAATAAAATTTAATTAGATATTGTTTTTAGCATTGTTTTTTTAGCGCATAAAATTTACAAAAAAAGTATAGATAAGAAGAATAAATCATGAAAAAATGAAAAAGATAGAAAAAAATACAATCAGCATTATCTTTAATACCGTAATTGAAATTCAAATATATATAACAAGTAAATGATAAAAAAAGGATAGAATAAGAATTGATTATCCTCGCCATCTCTTGAATAATAAAACATCTCTCCAAAAGGTAAGATAGGATAGATAAAATAGAATAAAAATTGTCTGTTAGTACCATCTTTTGAATATTTTTAGAAAGCATTTCTTATAGCATTCAAGAGATGGTACTAACAGTCAATTCTTATTCTATTTTTATCTTTCTCTTACTATTTACTTTCCTTTTCTATATTTGAATTTTATGTATTGTGGCACTCAAGAGATGGCGCTGATTTTACAATTTTTATATCTATCTCTATCCTTTTTCTACTTTCTTCTTTTGTTTGTATTTGCTTTTGGCGCGTAATTATAAACGAAGTACGAAATCTTTTCAATTGATTACACTTTCATCGTTTCTCTTTTAAAATTATATATCTTAATTTTTAATATAAAAAATATGTATATTTACAATGTATTTCTATGAGATTACAATCTTGTAATATATTGTAATATATTATAATATACTATTGTGACTATAATATTGTAATATACTCTGTGATATGATACAAGTATTTTAACACAAAACACCGCGCGACGATAGCTTTGAAATTTAAACAAATGAAAGTCTAATAACAAAATCAAAAAGAAATTTTGTGATATTTTATTTAAAAATGATACTATCCAATATTGCTGTTTTTGTCAAATCTATTTTTTCGCAATTTGTTATCTTGTAAAGCATTATAAAACATTCTTAAAACATGCAATTAATTTAAATTAATTAATTATTCAATAACAATTAATTCAGATACTAATTGTTATTGAATAGCAAGAGATATTTAATATCATATAGTTTATAATACCTTTAATAAAAGATTATAAACAATATATTAATTCATAAATAATTTTTATATTTTTAAACTTTGATTGCATCTACAAAATATATTTAATAAATATATTTATATACATATTTCATTATATTTCATAATTTAATTTTTTAATTTCACATATAAATGAAATTTAAATATTCAAAAAGATCACATATTGTAAATTATTTTTTAAAATATTATTAAATATTATTAAAATATTATTATTATAAAATATTATGGATAGCATTAAATTTAAAAATTTTGTCACATATATACTTTCTATAGAACTTTATCCATTCAATATGTTAAAAAGACATGTTAAAAATGCTGTTATCAATATTTATCTCTTTTATCTATTAAATATTTGAAATTTTATGACACAATATCAAAAAAAAAAAATAAAATAAATTATTTAAACTTAAAAAAAATATAATATTTATTTGTTTACTAAGAAAATTAAAAAAAAATTTATGATAAAAACATATATAAATAATAAATATATTATAAGAATAATATCGAAAAAAATTATGAAAATATTAATTTTAATTATAAAGTAATATTAGAAAAGAAATTATGAAGTAAAATTATTATAAAAATCCTATTATAATTTTCATATTATCAAATGTATATTTATTTTTTATTATACAATATTAATTATTATATTATAATATCTTTTGCTATATAATTTTATTAAATTATTAATATATGTATATCCAATATATAATAAAAAATTTTACTAATAGTATAAGACTATAATGAAATTCTAAAAATTCATTAATCATTTATGGTTAATGCATCGATAGATTTCTAAAGAAGGCATATACAAGGCTTGATACTCATTTTTCGTAGTAGTATTTTATATGTATATCTTTTATATAGAAATGTATAGAACACAATGACCTTGTTATCAGTAACAGTCATTTTTCGAATGATATACTTCAACTGATTATTTCAAGACTGATCATTTCGTATTTCTTCACTGATCACAATATATCAATATTGTTACAATTTTATTCTAATCTACGATTATTTTCTTGTTACTTGTGAGTATACTATATTAATTAACACTATTCAAACTTCATTGAACAAAATTAATCTGGAAACGCATATTATTTTCTATTTGCTTTCTTGTTAAATATATAATAGTGATATGTGAATGAGAAATTTATGGAAAAAATTGCTTTTTGTATTCTGTTCCAAATTCTTTATATTTATTGAGGTACAATATAATTTTGCTGTTCAACGCAGGAAAGTCATGCGGTAATAAGGAAAGTGTTCTATAAGAGAAAAAAAGAAGGAATGTTCGCATTGGTACAACTTTCAATCGTTGCACCTTTCCCATTTGTAATTTGATCGTGTGTACGTACAGGAATATTACAGGAATATCGAGAACGATTGAATTTATATATTTTATTTTTGAAAATTATAAGTAACATTTAAATTAAATAAAATTTTTTTATTACTATTCAATTATTATTTGAACGAGAGATAAAAATTATCTTAAAATATAAGAAATTATAAGAATTTTTAGTAACAAGTGCATTTTAAAATTTACAGTTTTTAACAAATTTTTAAATATGAAGATCGCCGTGATCGGTGCTGGATCCGCTGGTCTTGCTGCTCTACGACATTGTACTTCTGATTCATATGATACTCAAGTAATATGTTACGAAAAAACAGATCAAGTAGGCGGTACATGGGTTTACAGGGAAGAAACAGGTTTAGATCGATATGGTTTACCAATACACACTAGTATGTACAAAAATTTAAGGCAAGTCAACTATAAAAAGAAGTTGAAAAAATTATTTATTTATCTTGTCGAAGATATGTCTAATGCATTGTTATATTATTTTTTAATAATATATTTGATATTTGTTTTCAGAACAAATCTTCCAAAAGAAGTGATGGGATATCCTGATTATCCTGTTCCGGATAATCCTGACAGTTACTTGACTCGAACGCAAATACTTGAATTCTTAAATTCATATTGTGACCATTTTAATCTCCGTCAGTATATCCAGGTATTATATAATTTATTAACAATATTGTCTAATGTTAGATATACAATAGATATCTAATAGATACATGTTTTTTTGCAGTTTCTTCATAATGTTGAACTAGTGGAACCATCAATCGGAGATCGAAAATGGATGATCAAAGTAAAAGATTTAAAAAGGAATATCATTTTAGAAGAATCATTTGATGCAGTTATGATATGCAATGGTCATTACTTCGAACCTAACATACCAAATTTGAAAGGTCAAAAAATTTTTCAAGGGGAACAATTACATAGTCACGATTATAGGGTGCCAGATATTTTTACCGATAAAACTATAGTTGTACTTGGTGCCGGACCTTCGGGTAATATTATTTGTGTCTTTTATTTTTTATATATAATTTTAATATAATTATAATTTAATATAATTAATATAATTTAATATAATTTAATATAATTTAATATAATTTTTAATATAATTATAATATAAATATAATTAATATAATTAATATAATTTTATATATAAGAAAAAGGAAATATATATAAAAAGCATTTTTTAAAAATGATTTTATAAATAACAGGAATGGATTTAGCTTTGGAAATATCGAAGAAAGCGAAACGAATAATTTTGAGTCATCATTTGAAGGATCCCATAGGCACTGTATTTCCTGACAATGTTATTCAAGTAAATGATGCATGCAAATGTAATATAAAAAATAAATGTAATATAAAAAATATAAAATTATTTCAATTTATTATAATTTTTTAGAAACCAGATGTAAAAGAATTGACTAAGCACGGTGTTCTTTTTAAAGATGATACTAATGAATCTGTTGATGCGATATTTTATTGTACAGGTAATTATCAATTTAATTTTTTATAAAATAACTTAATTATTTTTTTCTTTTTTATCAAAGGATATAAATATAGCTTCCCCTTTCTGAGTGAAAAATGTGGAGTACGGGTAGATTCTAATATGGTGACACCATTATGGAAGCATTTGATATCGATTGAAAATCCCACCCTTGCATTGATTGGTCTTCCCTTTTATGTTTGTGCCTTCAGCATGTTCGATTTGCAGGTGCGATTAAAAAAAAAAATAATATTATAATAAGGTACAAGAACTATTTTAGTATGAATCATTCTATCTATTGATCCAAGGTCCGTTTTGTTCTACGATATTGGTCAGGAAAAAAGGACTTTCCTCCTAAAACAGATATGCTGAAAGACGAAACACAAGAATTAGAAAGTCGCAAAAAAGAGGGTCTGCAAAAAAGACATTTTCATATGATGGGATTTAAGCAAGATTGCTATTATGATGATCTTGCAAATACTGCTGGAATAACGCCATTACCTCCAGTTCTTACAAAATTGCATAACGAAAGCAGTTTGCTTTTCTTGGATGATTTGGTACACTATCGGGAAAAGAGATATAAGATCATCGATGATTACAATTTTATTCAACTTTGAAATGGTATCTTTTTCGGAATATAAAATATACATTCGCTAACTTGATATAATTATTATGAAAATATTATTTTGTATTTAATCGACTCAATTATAAATATTATGTAAGATAGACTGAAAATTGCTATCTTTACTTATTTTATAATATTAATTATTTTATAATGATAGGATGATAAATAAATTGTAAATTTTTTCGTCATATATCAATATAAAAATAAATTAAAAATAATATTTACATACATAGATATATATATATATTAAAATCATATTTTGTACATTTTCCTAATATAAATTAAATTCTTCTGAATAAATTTCGTGATTGAATTTCGCGCCATATACTAGTGCATAATCTAACCGCAAGGTGTATCTGAATATAGATGTTAGTTAAATGCCTCAGTTGCGTGCAGTGCAATACGTGATGTAGATCTGTGACAAACGTGAGTACGTATCGCTCCATTCTCATTTCGAAATGATTATTTCCGCGATCCCAAAGTGATTCAGTGTTGAAATATTTCAGCCTGTTTTTATGGCTGAACCACGATGATTGAATCAATCGGGAATTATATCGAAAGAAATCAATGTAAGTAGATTTCGATGAAAAAAGTATCTACAAAGTATGTAGATACTTTTCTAGTTTGTACTATCATTATTTTCTACTTGGTGAATTTCATATAGCTCAATTATGTTCATTAGTATTGTAGAAAGATATTGAAAATAATGTGTCATTATACCAAAAAAAATAGAAACTCTTATTGAATCTTTCACTGTGACAAGAAGTTTTATTTACGTTGAGATCAATCGACGTTACTTTTCTAGATAGAAAGTTGCATTCAATGATGCGCGATATGTGGGCTACGCACAGACTCTCTCGGGTGAATGCATTTGTAAGAATGCATTCACGTCCGCCGTGTGTCGTGTTCTTTAGTTTTATGTAATTTTATTACGAACACCTGTCCGATCTTGAATATCGTATCAATATCGGCATTTAAATAATAGTGTCAAGAAGTCAGCTACATTTTATTGTCAACATTTTCGTTTTCCTTATCTGTCAAATGTTTGAAATAACTGATAGTAATTTTCGGTTATCTGAATATTACCAATCTGGAGATATTGTGATTACTAACTACCAGTAAATAATTCTAGAGAAACATAAAAAATATTTTAGAATGTTGACTGTAAAATATGTCATAATTCGAAATATAATTGAAATATAATTTTTAATTTTGATACTATGTTTATTACCTGATTTCATTTCTATGAAATTTATATATTTCGTACTTCGTTGTACTATTTATACTATTTTTTTTATTTTGCTTATTTAATTTTATTATTAATTATATTACAAAATATTACATTTAAAACTAATAAATTTTTAACTTTAAAAAAATATTAACATGCAAATGAAATTGTTCATACTTAATTTTTCTACTATTTAATAGGGTATTAAGGTGGAATTAAAGAAATTATAAAATGGCTACAAGAACAGAAGATACAACATCTATTGATAATACTAATGACGGTATAAAAATTATTATTTATTATTTTTAAATATTTTTATTATTTTTATTATATATGCTATGATATATGTAATTTTAGGAGAAAGTATGGATAAAGAGGTATTAGCAATTAGTGGAAATGATGAAACTAATCATCGTATTCCACCAACATATTTGTATAATTCAGGTTCTGAACAAAATACAGGAATATCTAATCAGGAACAAAACAATAAAAATCGTACTCAAGCTTCAGAGGATCAGTTAGGACCTTTACCACCAAATTGGGAAAAAGCTTTTACAGACACAGGAGAAGTTTATTTTATAGAGTATGTATATAATATAGAGTATGTATATAATGTATATAATGTA